CTCATACGTCATCCACCCGGAGCTGCTTCCATGCTGTAGGACTGTTGGCGCAAGCTACATTAAAGTGATTATTACGTTTTGAATATGGATTTTTTTCTTACAAAAACGCATCGATTCGCTACAGGAGGCTTTTGTTCACCCCCCGGAGCCGTGTGAGACACTCTTTTTTTATGGATGGATTTGCTTTTTATTTAACTTCTTTTGGACTGATGCATGCAACACCCGCTGAGTGGCATTAAACAGCTTGAAAGATCAAAGACAATTTTTAATATAACTCCTACTGGATTCGTCTGAAAGAAGAAAGTCATATACACCTAGGATGACTTGAGGGTGAGTAATTTATGGGCTAATTTTAATTTTTGGGTGAACTAACCCTTTAAGTATCTATTGTGATGTTAGCAAAATGAAGATACATTAATATAGTTCTCTCATACTGATTGCATCGTGGTTCTGTAATTTGTGTATTATGTTCACATGTATCACAGCGAAACTGAAACAGATTCAATATGATGCAATAGGCCTACCTTTCCTGTTAAAGTTCTGCCATGCGCCAAGTATTTGCATAGAAAGAAAATACAGTCAGCTGTGATGAATTGTAGAAAATGTTGAAGCAGATCTGTTTTATTACTCCAACTGTCTGCATCGTTGGCTGCCCCCTGTATTCGTGGGATATATATATATATATATATTCCCTCTAAATCCAGTCTCATATAATCCTCTCCAGCAAAGCCAAGATGATTATACATACATATATATATCAGTGTTTCCCCTAGGTTTATGGCTTTGGGAGGGGGGGGAGTTCCGTTTTTTTTTCCCCTTTTTTTTCTGGACTCCTTTTTAATGGTTAAATTACATTTTATTAATCAAACCGCATGTCTAATTAATTAAAATCATGAAACTTAAACAATTTAACATCAATTTATTAAAAGTTTAACAAATATTACATGTTTAGGGCCCTATGAAATGTTTTTATTTTTACAACCTTATGTTTTATTGTAACCAAATTCTGTTTTAGCATGTCTAATTATTTGAAAGCATAAAAACAAGTTTCATTTATTCTTACAATAGCCTTATGATTTTTTGCTCAGAAATTCTGTGCTGTGTATTTACATTTTGTTTTAAGGCATAAAACATTCATTTAATCTATCTTTTAAGTAATGAAAACTAAACAAATTTTATTTTTTGGAAAATAAAGGTCATTTAATATTACAATTAAAACATTGAAGAAATATTGAATGCTTATTCCTTAAAAATAAGGTTTTAATAATTTTAGTAGCAGTAGTAGCAGCCTGTTACGTACATTCTACTCAACAATAATAATATATTTCTGCCAATGCCCTCAAGTTAAACCGAACTTTTATTTTGACGGGTTGCCGTGAATACCATTACATTTCTGTGATGACATGATGTATATGACATGATGATAGTTTTACTCAAATGAAACGGTCAAATGCTCATGAAGTGACTCTCAAAGCAGTTCTGGAGATGTTGTTCATGTATTTATGTCCTCATTAGTGAGACGGCAGACGTTAATATCACCGGAAGCGTCACGAGCGTTTCAGTACGAGTACTACACAAAACCGCGCATCTGCGCCATTCATTAACACAGAGACACGCAGAATTCATATTTAAATATGAATCGTTTTGCGGCTTAATATTTACAAATACTAGTGGGAGTGGGCTCACTTGTGTGTGTGTCTGTGTATGCGCGCGCGCATCGGGCGGAACTCCACTGTGCGTGATACAGAGAGCGCGACCATAACGTAGAGACCGAAATGACATGCCGTCGTGTAAATAAGATAAATAACATAAGACTATTTAGTTTGCTTAATAAAAGAACAAGGTATATACCTGTTCTATAGGAAAGGTCACTTTAAATGACTTCTGTGTGTGTGTGTGTATGCGCGCGCGCATCGGGCGGAACTCCGCTGTGCGTGATGCAGAGAGCGCGACCATAACGTAGAGACCGAAATGACATGCGGTCGTGTAAATAAGATAAATAACATAAGACTATTTAGTTTGCTTAATAAAAGAACAAGGTATATACCTGTTCTATAGGAAAGGTAACTTTAAATGACTTCTGTTGTGATCTGGCGCTATAGAGAAAATATAATTAAATATTAACTTGACCTTCAAGGGGGGCGGGGGGTGCCGTTGTGGGGGCGGGCCGCCCCCCTAATATAATGGCAGGGGAAACACTGTATATATATATATATATGTCCGCCCAGTTTCATCATCCCACTGACAGTGGCATATCCACAGGCATGTATATCTGATACAGAATTAAGGGGTGTGAAGGGGTGAAAGTTTTAAAGAGACCTGTGAAAACACTTTGTGATGTGTTTGTATATTTCTGTTATCAGTGAATTTTATACTAAAAAAGACACACACTGTATAATACTGTAAAAAAAAAACAGAAAAGAAAGAAAAAAAGAAAACACCAGTTTTGTTGTAACTTTTCTTTTTAACATAAAGTCTTTTTCAATTGCCTGTACACTTCATCATGATAGGCACTAATTTCTTTCCAGACATGTTTAAATTCAACAGTTTTCATCCAGTTTTGCTTGGAAATATGCTCATTTTTAGTGCGGTCATATGGCGCTTTTCCACTGCGTGGTACGACTCGGCTCGGTACGACTCAGTACGGTGCGGCACGGCACGGCTCGGTTCGGCTCGGTTTGCGTTTCCACTGCAGTTTAGTATCGCTTTAGAGTGGGCGGGATTATTCACATGTCGTTATAGTTGCGCCGCCTCTATTGCCGCGACTCCTAAAAAACTTTTTCATTCCGCGTC